GATTGAACTCAGGGCCCTTGCGCCTGCCAGGGAAGCGCTTTTTCCACTGATCCATCTCCCCGGCCCCTAGAACATATATTTTCAAAACAGGTTTAAACCAGGTTTTATACTGAAAAAGAACAAATAAAAAAAACCCAACAAGAGCCCCCCCCCCAACCATTCACAATGCCTACAGAGTACTCCTAAATCAGGAGATCTATGTATACAATGAAAATAATGCATTCAGAATAAGTGTAATTTTTGAGAAGGTATTAAGTTCATAATAAAGATTTAGGTTGATGGCTGACAACATTTTGGACTTTCTTATGAAATGAGTCCAATTATAAGAAGTTAGTCCATCTGAAAAAGACTAGGTTACAACCATAACCTCATCCTTGTGAAGTATCCCCTCATCTCATCTTTCTAGTCTAAAATCGTCTATGGCACCAGTAATACTTAACTCAGTGATATCAAAATATACAGTGAATTTTCTTTTTAATGTATTTAGTACAGGGTCTACAGGATCTCACTACACAGATTGGACTTGTACTGTTTTCAGCCACCCAAGCACTAGGGTTACACATGTGTGCCACCAAGCCCAGTCTCAATTGCCCCCCGGGGGTTAGGGCCAGCATGGCCCACCTGGGTTCGATCCTCCAGTCTCTGTGTCTGCCTAAGCAGGAGCTTTAATCTGCTGAGCTATCTGCCTGGCCCACAGTAAATGTTTTTTTAAAAATCTAGAAATTAATATAGTAAAATACACAGCCTTAATTTCTGTGTGTATAATCTGCCTCACTTCAAGTACACTTACTGTTGTTACCATTTTGAGTTGTGGAAATCTCTTGTATCTTTATAAGGTGTGATCAAAAGGAATGCTGCCACGGGTATCATCCAATGGAAAGGTATGCTTAGAAAAACATTATGCTGTGCCTTCTACTTAATTCACCATATCTGACACCAAGGGACTTGGCTCTTCCCCAAAGTCAAAATGATCATGAAATGGTAAATTTTTCAAATCAGTTCAGATCATCTAAGTATCCAACACAGTTAACACACAAAGACGGGACTTCCAGAAGTGCTTCAGAAAGTTACAACAGTATGGGATAAGTGTGTTCAAAGTGAGGGGAAATAATGTGAGAAGGAGTAATAGCAATATGCCTTTTATTATTTTAACACTTAAACATTTTTATTGATCACCCTTTATATCTGCAACTTCAGGCAGTCTGAGAAAGGAAGCCTTATTTTTTACACTACAAAAGCAAAATTATATCATGCATTAAGAAATAAGTTCAAATGAAAATATTTCGAATTAAAATCCTTATAAGCAATTCTTTAAATGCAATTTTATTAAAAAATATAATAATGTTTTCTTTAACTTTACTATTTATTTTTATGTATTTAGTACAGGGTCTGCAGGGTCTCACTACGCAGATTGGACTCATAGTGATCCTCCTGATTTCAATCTTTTTTAAATTTTTATTGTATTTTATTTATTTTTTTAATTGATAAATATAAATGAGACAGTTTCACAGCTGATTAATAGGACAGTTTTGATAATGAATACATTGTACATTGTTATCTTCTTAGTGGTTATCCATAGCACAAGAAGCAGACAGGATATCCTGTCCAAACACTGTTAGCACACCTTTTTCTTCTCATTGAAGTAAGCAAAAGTAGCTGTAAACCTATCCTATTTTGTATATATAAATACAAAATGATCTTTCCTTTGTATCCTTTTTTTTTTTGTCCTGTCAGAGGTGAATATTCTGTTGGCATCTAAATACTATAGGTGTTTGAATTCAACTAAACATCTAACACTGTCTAGCAGTCTATAGTATTAGTGGGTTATCCTCAGAAGTTATTGACTTGAGCCTTTTACAGCTCATCGTGTTAATATGGCTTTATTTTATATACCTCGTTTTTATACTTTTCTGCTGGATGGTTAAGACCAAGATATAGCAAGACCTGATCACAGGCATGTGCCACCATGCCCAGAATCTAGCCAGCTCAGCCTACCCTAGGAGTGGGGCTGGCATGGCATGTGGTGCTGGGATCAAACCATGGTCCTTGTGCTTGCCTAAGCAGGTGCTTTACTCTGCTGAGCTCTCTGTCTGGCCCTTGTTTAACTTAAAAACTTCAGAAAGTTGAAATGAAATTTTGGGCTGGTGAGATAGCTCAGCGGACTAAGCACCTGCTTAGGCAAGTGCAGGGACTGGGATTCAAACCCCAGAGCCACATATGATGCCCGCCCCACCCCTGGGTGTGCTGAGCCAGCCATCGAGTCCAGGTGTGGTGGCACATGCCTGTTATCTCAGTGCTGGGGAAGTTGAAAACAGGAGGATCGCTATGAGTCTGAGCTCTGTAGTGACACCCTGTACCAAATGCATTAAAAAAAAAAAAAAAAGAAAAAATAAAATTTCAGCAAATGTTTAAAAAAAAATGGTAATTGTAAATTTTTTTTCTTTTTTTTTTTGTGGAACCGGGGATTGAACTCAGGCCCTTGAGCTTGCCAGGGAAGCACTTATTCTACTGAGCCATCTCCCCGACCCCTGTAAATATTTAAATTAGATATTAACTAATAAATATTTCTTTGGTACTGGGGATCGAATTTGGTACTGGGGATGGAAGATATTAACTAATAGAACATGAATTTATATAAATAGTGCATTAATACTTAGAGAATATTGCTAAATATTAATAAGTTGGATAGAGACATAATAGAGATAGAAATGAATATCCCTGTTGAGAACATAAACCTTTGGGGTTCTGGATATAGCCTACTGGTAGAGTGTTTGCCTAGATACTTGAGGCCCTGAATTCTTCTTCTTTTTTTTTTGGCGGAACTGGGGATTGAACTCAGGCCCTTGCACTTGCTAGGCAAGCCCTTAGTCTACTGAGCATCTCCCTGGCTCCGAGGCCCCGAATT